GCCCTCCTATTCTGTCTGAGGGAGGATTTGGCCATTGGAAAGTGGAGTGGCATTTATCCCTGAAGAACTTCCTGTGCTACTTCCTTTCAGCTCACATACCTGTGCTACTAGTGCAGAGCTGGGCCTTCCATTCCACTTCCTCATGTCCTCTCTGAAGTAATTCAGGTAAAACCACAGCTTACCTCATGGTGTGTATTCTCTCTTGAGCTGAGAGGTGCTTGCTGCCAGTAGCAGAGACTCTGTTCCCATACTAGTGAGGCATGGGACATTGCCTCTCTAACTTGCTTGAAACATCTGCGTAGTAATGAGAGCAGCTGGTGAAATCAGGAGCGAAATTTTTTAAAAAAGAGCATTTTAACACACCCTGAAAATATTATCATATTCTAGATGATATAATCTGATACATGAATTATTTCTTTTACATGTTATATGAGATTATTTAGTAACAAGTAATAAGCCTGTTATTTAGAGATCCCGTAGTCATGTGGCCAGAGATATTTTCTTTATCAGATTATGGATCTGATCCTGCAACTAAATAAGTGGTTACAGTGACTCATCTGTACCAAGGAACTCTCTTCACAAAGCAGAGTTGCCAATGTGTATATGAAGGAAATATTTGCATAACCACTTTAAAAAAATATTCCTGCCACAATATATTAAGTCATGTTGCAGTGTACTGAAAGTACATCCTCAAAGTTATTGTTTCAACAGGTTTTTGTCTCTTAGAGGTAGAGATAGCTTCAGGAGGAGCAAGTTTGACTTAATGGAATTTCTCTGGAGGGATGTTACATTGAAAAATATCAGACAGAGCATGCTGATCTGTGTTTATACCAGCACACTTAGATTTACAACTTTTGGATTTATGATATCAATATAAATTAGCATCTTTCCTAAAAAATTGATAATGTCAGAAAAACTTGATTTTTCAATTCAGTGGATAAAGCTGTATGCATGAAGACTGCACAGAATCAGTTGGAGAACCTGCCATTCTAAGAGGAGCACTTTTTGGGCTGGATTTCTTTTTCAGTAATTTTTATGTGGTGCTGTGGTACTCTTGCAATGTGAATGTACCAGCCATCTTGTCATTTTCAGATATAACCCACTGCCTCCTTAGTCTGTCTGCAAAGTCCTGGTAGCAGTAGTGTTTTAAAATCCTTGCAATTGTTTCCCAGTCAAACATTTCAAGCAACACTTAATCATCCAGTGAGCTACCAAATAAAATACTTTTCTGTATTTTCTTTTTTAACAGAAGATTAGAAGTCACATTTTTTCCTGCTGAAACAATTTTCAGGTCACACAGATTATTCTCAGAAAATGTATTCTTTGTTTACAAGTAAACTAATTTCCTAATTTAAACTATTGTCCTTTTTTCCCCCCTATACATGATCCTCTTTATTCCCCTTTAAATTATCTTTTTCTGATGTCTGAGAAAGTTGTCTGTGCCATTCTAGTATGGTAGAATGAAACTGATGGGGGGAATCTGTATTTTGTTTTCTGTTCAATGGAAATGTGTAGAAAGGTACAAAACTGACAATTTGTGTACTGGTGAAGTTAGGTATATTTTGTAGGAGAAAATTACTTCTCTCCAGATTTGCTGGTGTCTATGTAGATCTAAACATACAAATGTTGAGGTTGTATGTGTGATGTAAAATTCAGTAATTTAGATTCTAGAAATGAGAGGTTGGAAAATGACTTGACTGCATTGGTTGTCAATTTCCTCTACTTTGCAGGAGCTCTTCCGAAGTTCATTTACAGTAAAGATTTTTATTCCCGCATTTTCCATTTTTTCTTTTTGTCTTCCATTATCCGAGGACTTTTGGAAAGCCAAAAAAATGGTACAGATTCAATGTTCACCTTAGGTAAAACTACCTTCTTAGTATATCAGTACTGGTTGTTTTTGCATAAGAGTAGCACAGAGGAGTTGAAGTTACAGGCAACTTATGTAAAGTTCATGATTATAGTTTTTCACTGAGTTATGAAATACCATTAGTAGCCATCACAGCCAGAACAATTTAAAAACAGTTTGTTTCAATGTAAAATGCAAGAGGTGTTTGCTGCAAAAATACTCTCTGGTTTTCTAGGCTATGTATGATTCTGCATGTTCATTGTACACTTGGGATCTGGTCTGCCTTAAGTAAGAGCTGGTGTAAATCATTGCCCAAGTCCAGCATATTTGGTCTGTATTTACTCAATTTGTAGAAAGTGCTACCTCCTCCTCCATATTTTCAAAATTCAGTTCTATTTAATCCTGCTGCTGCAAGAATGAGGGATCCGAACATGATTTGACATGTCTGCTTGTTCCCCATCAGATCTGTTTATAGGACAGATCCATTAGCAGTCTCTGAAAGACAGTCTTCCCAAGAAGGACATGCAGGATGGAGTAATTTCTAAATTTCTATTGTGAAGTGATTCAAGTATGACAGCCAGTGTCATGGACAGCAAATAGGACTGTTGATGGAGGGTAATGTAGTAATTTTCATTCCCATTTTAAATTGGGTGGGACTTCACCCTTTTATCTGGTGTAAGTAAGCTTTTCAAGTATGGAGGGATACAGTAGGAGACAAAATGTTCCTAAAACATCCTTCCTCCTCTCCTTTTCTTTGCCTTGTTCCCTCTTCTTTCACGGCTCCCCTTTCCTTTTCCTCTAACTCCTCTCCCTCTTACCTGCTCTCTCCCCCTCCCAGCAAAAGTTCCTGCTCTGGTTATGAACTCAATCTTATTGAGACACCAATAAGCAGAGATAAGAGTTGACTGATAAGAGACACTGCCAGTGTGCTGTGACCACCACTTGTTAGGCCCACCCTATTTCTGCCACTGCTTTTTGTTTTCTGCAGGCTATCTGTATGGGCAAGCTGGCTCTTACCTTACACTGCAGTGCTATCATCTTGTAGGTGAATGTTCAAGCTGTGCACAGCAACCAGCAGCAGGGATCCCCAGATGTTGGCTACACAAAGTACTTTACCATAAAAAGTCAGTAACAATTCCTCTTGAACTTCCTTCACTGCTATGCAACTACTAACAAGAAAACAGGAGTCTTCTCTGAGTTTGAACACACAGTACGTTTGTGTGTTTGTGGATTTTCATCCCAAATCAGCCTCAGGATCTGCAGGTCTGAAAATCAATGTCTCTTGTAACCTTTTTCCCCCTAATTTTCTCAAAACGTTTGACAGGAAAGGAAGTGCAATTCTTTAAAGGACTTAAAGTATAAATGTTTCATTGTTTTTATGGTCCAGTGTTTCCTATAACTACTTCTATGGGAATGCACAGTCTAATCTGTTAACTGATCCAAGGAAATATTGCTTAAGCAGTTGCATTGATTTGTGTTTGCCATTAACATAATTTTTTATTCACTGCCTTTGAACTATGTTCTGTTCTTCTTTCTTCATTTAAATACACTCAGTTCAAGAGTCAATTTGTAGGCACTTTCAGAATTACCATTTAGTAGAGAAATCTGTTGTGGCTTTACAAAATAAAAACATGTCGTTTATACTTGTTTCAAGTAGACCTGTTGTAAGTGTGAAATAAAAAAAAAAGTAAGATTTTCTATTGTGATATCTCTGTTAAAAAGTTCTTTGTTTAATGCTTCATAGTGAAGTTGCTTCTATTTAAAGCATTGAGTTTGATCTCAGCTTTGATCTAAAGCTTTTGATCTTGAAAAAAGGATGTTGTGGCAGTAAAACAAAAAGGCTAGGAGAGATTTTTTTTTTCAAGTGATAAAAGGATACTCTCAAGATTTACTACACAGTTGCTGGATCTACCTTTATTTACTTATCTGTTTATAAATTACATCTAATTTTATGTATTGAGGGTTTGCTTACACACATACTTTAATGTGCCCTATTTTTTGATAGAGCACAGATTTCTTTTCAAAGCTTTCAGAGATTATAACAATATATAGTATAAGAGCATAAATAATTTTCAAAAGAGTATCAATAATTCTTAAAATACTGACTTTTGTAATATCATTTTAACTATAACAAGTTTTATACACTCTATCCTTTACTGCCTCTTATTTTTTAAATATAAACACAAAAGCACTTGATAAAATCCTGATTTAGGACTTAATAGTATTTGGATTTTGCATGGTTGACATAAGTATCTCCCAACATGCTGAAGTTTGAATATCCTTTTCTGAGGGTGCAAGAATACCTGAAGTCCTATGCCTAAATTTAATTACCTGCTCACAGCATCTTGTTGAATAAATAAAGCCTTTAGCCGAGACCTCGATAAAGGGCTTGCTGTGGTGCACTATACCTACATAGCTGCTTTGGATCTTGCTTTTAATGTGCCTCCAAGGCAGTTTAGTGGTTGGATTCTGGAGGCGAGAGCAAGTACCAAGGCCAGTGTTGAAGCAGTTAGTGGTACTGATGCTTTCTTGAACTATCCGCACTAGGCCATTCGTCTGTCCGTAAAGACCTGTGACAGCATGTTTATAGGAGGGGTCATAGGGAAGCGGCTTTCATAGTGAGAGTGTCGAAGAGAGAGCGTATCGTTAGTAATTAGGCTGCAAACCGTGACGAGCATGGCTGTGGAGGTTATGAATAGCCGTCCCGTCGGAGACGCTGTGGAAGGGAGCGCGGGTTGGCAGCAGTACCGCCAGTGCCCGGGCCGGGCCGGGCCGGGCCCGCAGCCGCCGCGCTGGGGCTGTCTGAGGCGCGGTGCCCCGGCCGGGCCGCCCCGGGGCTGGCGGACCCTGACGTCTGTAAGGCAGGCTCCTCCTCCCCGCGGGGCTCCGGGGCCGGGGCGCGGGGGCGGGGGACCCTGCGGAGGTGTTTCATTTCCTAGCGAGGGCTGCGGTGTGCCGCTGCCGAGCCCGGGAACGACGGCATGGCGTGGGACGGAACGGGACCAGGCGGAAAGGAGCGGGCGCGGCTCCGGGGACCGGCGGCAGGAGGACCCCGCTTCCCCCGCGCCTGCCGCCTCGGGGCCCGGGGAGCGGAGCGCATCGCGGATCCTCCGCAGACCGTCCCGCCTCACCGTGCGCTTTCTCCCCCGTGTAGCCCCTGCTGGAGGAGGGAGAGACGTGGAAGGAGTGTCAGCTCGTCCAGCAAGTGAGCGGCGAGGTGAGGAGGAAACCTTTCACAGCTGTTATGTTGCACCCGCTTCTTCCCCTTGCAGATCTGCTCCTGGAGTTTTCTGCCTTACACACCATCCTCACCCTGCCACGCTTTTGCTATAAAAAATAGTTGCTTTCGTATTAAGAATAAAAATATTAGTATGGGGGAAAAAAGCCCCACCAAGTGTTACTGCTTTATTAAATAATAACCATGCCATCCAAATTTGGCGTTGGCAGTCTGGAACAATGTTCGAGTGGGTGGCTGGAAATAAATCACTTACTTGAAATAGAAGGTGCAAGGGATAAAGCGCAGAGGTTTTCTCCAGGAGTTTTTCACATTGCAACGATAACTTCCCATTTGGCAACCCGGTTTCACATCAAAATGTTCTTTGTGCAAAACCCCTTAAACCAAAAGCTCTAAGATAAAGAACATCACCTCACATTTTGATCATGTACAGGTATAACCAGCTTACCTCAGACCACATCACTTAAGAGAAGAAAAGTGCTTTTTCCTTTCCAGTGAAGCAATGGAAAAAGTTGTCTTGAGTGTCTTTATAGATATCTAATGCTAAGTAACTACAATCAGGTTGCTTCTTCTACCTAAAAAAGCACCATGATTTTGAACTCCAGGTCACAAAATGGATTCAGACAAACCGGAGGATCAGAAAAAGCAGCAAAAAGAAAATGAAGCAGGATGAAGTTGTTTTCCAGCAGGTAAGCAATCATGATGTCAGTTTGTGTAATGGGACAAAGGGCGGAAGATCCAGATAGCTTCCTGATTATGCCTTCTTAAGCTCGGTAGAGATGTTACTTAGTGTCTTCAATAAGATGATTGTAAAGGATGTTACAAGATAAAGTTTCAGAGTCATTATGTAGATACAATGGCAATAAATTAATAGCCTTTTTAGATGTCTGTGTTCAGGAGACAGAATTTTCATCTATTTGTATTTAACTGGAGCATTCTAAGGAGGAAAGAGAAGGGTGTTTTCAAGGGTGCAGAGAAATACAGCCCTTAAGAGCTTTTGACAAGACCTGAAGCACTATTTTCAGATACTGGTAGATGAGAGACAGTTTTCATGGTAGATTTTTGGACAACAGTAGATGTGATGTGTACGTTGAAACAAAATATTTGGACTGTGTTGTTGACTCTTCATTCAGAGGGTGAGTTTGAAAATAATCGATTTGTAGTATAGATTTCAGTTTATTAAAATGTGATGATTATTTTTAAAATTACTACAGAGGATGTAAAAACCTGAATATAACTGAATTTAAACTGGTTTTAAATCAGTAAATTTTAATTAATCTGTTGTGAAAGACATGTTCAATAAGTTTGAGTTGAAAATTTAAATTACAATGTAGAGAGGTAAGTAGTTAGCTGATACAAAATAGCTGTGTTCTGCCCCTTGAGGGACAAAATGGTGAATAAAGATGCACTTCCAAATGTGTTATGGCAACTGTGATTTTTTTTGCTTGTTTTGATTTTGAAAAAAAAATTATTATTGTATTTGAAAGTTCTTGTAACCTTTAAAGGATTAAAATAGTAGTGTGTTGATTTGCTGTTTCAACAGTGCTTCTAAAATGCATAATGAATCATTGCTGTTTCTGTAGCTAAATTCTTCCTGATAGAACGACTGCCAGCTCCTCTGATGTGTTGCCTTAGTATGGGCATTGCAAGTTTATGACAAATGTCCACAAAGTGCATTGTTGTGGGTGGATGATTTACCACCTCCATGATGAGCTAAAAACTCCCAAGTAGCGTCCTTTAATTCACGACTTTTATTTTGTAAGTGGAGTACATAATTTAGGAAAGATGTTCTGTGATGATGTGCTTTAGAATAGTGTCATCTAAATAGAGAGAGATAGCATAAACTGTTTTACCTGGTAATTCCATTTCTGTTTATTTTCTGTATGTCAATGTGTTTGTGTGTATATGCAGCATTTTTATTTACAATCATTTTATGCTAAGATGAAGAAGATTTTTTAAAGATAAAAATTGTATTGCCTTGGGAATTTGTGAGCAAACTGCATTGATGGTACAGATAACACTAATACAAACCAGACTGCATACATTTTGAAACAGTTTTTAAATGGTGCATTTAAAAGAGGATGGTAGATCCTCTGGTATGCTGAACAGTAGGTTTAAAAGTGCCTTATGCTGTTATACCAATGCTAGTCTCTTTCTATAGGAGAAAGCTTCATTAGTGCAAAATTCCTTTCTACCGATAAAACTCCTTTTCTATTAAGGATATTGTTCTCCAAGTGTTCCACAGTTTGTGAGAGAGAACTTCAGCATATACCTTGCAGTGATAGAAATGCAAAACCTGATGTGTAAACATAAGATATACTCATTGTTTTTTCAAACAGTAATTCTGGAACAAGGTCTGTTAGTAGACATATGAATTAAAATTGAAGGCAAGCATAACCATTGTCTTCTGATATCTATAAGTATCAATAATTTATGGAGATCCAATGCAGACTGACAATACTGCATTTGCAAGATACTTAACCACATGGGAAGGAAGAGGCGTAACAATAATCTTTTATTTGATAGTCAACCACTGACTGTTCACTGAGTTTGGAATTCTTTATGTTGCCTAAAAGTTTGGCCATTGCAATGGTGACTTTTTCAATACAGTTACAGGTAAGAGAATAGAGGAAAAAAAAGAGTGAGGTGCTAGCTGAGCTTTATTATTTGGTTTCAGAGTTGATTGCACTAGGTTTCCAGCCCTGACTTGCCAGTGCAATTCCTACTCAGTGTAGATGGTGCTAACCTCTCTTCTATGAGAATTCTTGATTTTTAGTTTTGTCCACTTATAGAAGAAATGGCATTATACAGAAGTTAAAGTATTTTATAAACAAGAGAACAAGAAAGAGAAAAGCATGTAATGGAAAAGTAAGGCAACCTTGAAGATAGCAGAGAAATAGAAATAAAGATGTTGAGTGGGAAGAGGGAGATGAGAAGGCAAGTGATAATAAACAGAGAAGCCGTAGAGCTGATAGCAGCTCATATTACAACTGTGATTAAAATAAGGATACTGATATATTTTGCTACACCTTGAAAACTGAGCTTTGCTTTGATCTTGCTTATCCTTTCAAAACAAGCACCAGCTTATTAAATGTGGCTTCTAAACTTTCAAAACAAGCACTAAATTTTTATATGTAGCTTCTAAACTTCCATCTGCCTGTGCTGTTGGATTTTCCTCTAAGGTTTCATGTGCCTATGCTGTCCAATTTTTCACTGTTATTTTTCTTCTTTGTGATTGGAAGTCCTATTTCTAATATCAGGTGGATGACACTGCTATACTGAGTCACCACCAAATCAAAGCACCTGTGTCCAAGTACAAAATCTAGGACAGAAAGATAACTGTATGGAATAAGTGAAACAGAATGGTGAAGGAAAGGTTGCTGACAACTGCTGAGGAATTGTTTCTTGAAAGAAGTTGCCTTCTAAACAGTTAAGTTTGTAGGAGTTGACTTTACATACGTTTATACGTATTTAAAAAATATTTGAGAATACCATGTGCTAGATAAAACGATGTGGCTGCAGTGTTTAGTGTGCTCAGGAGGAGCCAGTGGGGAAGCTTGGGTAGGAAGGTGTGGTGCTGCTCTCCAGTGCGGATCGCACGGCAGGTTACGGCAGCGGAACAGAATCGAAGAGTGTGCAAGACTTCTTGCCGAATAGCTGAGGGTTCTCATACTTTTGCTCTTCTTTATTTAGTTTTTTTTTTTGTTTGTTTGTTTGTTTTTAAGCTTTTTTTTAATTTCTAACCTTTTTGCTGTCCTGTCTCTGAAACTGCTGTTCTATCTCTGAAATGGAAAAAGGTGTTATTTTCTTAACACCTTTTATGTCAATTTTTTCTTTCCTACTTCTTTTTCACACCTCGTGTCTTTCCCTGTCTTCTTTTGACTCATTTGGTCACCTTTGGTATTGTTCACCCCTTTCTATTTACTTTCAGTCTCTCTGTTTGAAAAAAATGGAAAAACAAGCTGAAAAATTGAAAAAAAGTTACCTTTTGCTCACTGTGTTTTCTGCTTATAGTTCTCTGTAACTACTCTTCTTACGATAAGTAAGAATACACATACACAAACTTAAAATAAGTAAGAATACACATACACAAACTTAAACACGCTTACCCTTTGTATTTCTACATTTGTCCTGCTTTCTATTCTTGTGCATTTTTTACTCTTCATTTAATATTATGCTGTCTCTTCAGGTTGTCCTTTATCTGGTCAGCACATTTAGCAGCCAGTATGTGAATCAATACAGAATGCTGTTTGTATATGAAATTTAGAGAAGGTGTAACAGAGTTGATAAGAATTACTTGGTTAAAATAAGCAGTGTTTTATAATGAAGAGTATGATAGAACTGTTAAATGGTGTTGTTATGATGATGATGTTTGTTTTAATAGCTGACTGTGTCTGCTTGAAAAAAAAGATTCTGTTGTCCTGTCCGTGTTAGGCAGAAGAAAATGATCTTTTAGTCAGACTAGTGGAATTGTGGTGTGCCATGTCTATCTACTGGGGAGAAACATCTTTTCGCTAGAAGACTAATTCCCTTTTACATGACGTTCAGTGTCAAAACATAAAAGCTGATTTGATCATATTTCAGTAGTATAAAAAGTGTCATCAGATGAGATAACAAGGATACACAGGATTTAGGAAAAACACTGAAATAAGCATGCATATATATTCATACTAGATAAGGAACATGTTTCCTGCATATGATCAAAATTGCATTTGACTGTTTCAGTTTTAGTTTGATTGTATACTGAAACTTCAGAGAGTGAGTCAACTTTTCTAGAATAATTTCTGCTGCTTTCTCAGAAATACTGTTTTCTTGTGTTTAAAGTTTGTCTGCTAGTTTTTCTAGCAATGTGACTTTGACTTTTTTTCCTATTGGTTGTTGCTATTGATCCTTTGCGTCACTCCAGAAACTTATAGTTGTCAATATTTAACCTCTCTTAATAACCTGACCATAAATGACTTTGTGGATATTGCTTTCAAGTTTAAATAAAAAATAAAACCCCCAATCTAGTTGTGATACATATGACTAATGATAAATGCTATCTTTGCCCTTTAATAATGAATTCACCACCATAAGTGGAACACAAGAAACAAATCTTGTCATTCGCTAAAATGAGTTGTCTTGTTATACTGCAAGTAGAAAATATTTTGAAGTCTCATAAGAAATACTGATAAAAAATACTGTGTAGTATAAAGGAGCTCTAGTTGATTAGAAAATTTATTCAGGATGGTGTGCTTCTGCTAATTCAGGTAACAACTATTGTCATACAGTGCATAAAAATTACATTAAATCTTTAATTGGCATATATTCTTTGTTTGTCAAAATGAATTTTTTTATTTGAATCTACCAAACTAATGTTCAAAGCAAGGATCAAAACTGAAATAATCTGGTGATCTTGTGCACTGCTTAACAGCTAAGAGAAACATGGTGAAAAATCCTAAATTGTTGTTTAGAGATGCTCCAGTGGTGTTATTTGCAGTACCACATTCTGTTAATTTCACAGAACTTTCTAGGAACCCTGTACACTGGGCTTCACTGATTACAGAAAACATTTAATTCCTTTCTCACTCAGAAATTTGAATGGTAAATTTTTCCCAGCTCATGTACAAGATCTGATTTGCATTAAGTGTTGTTAAGCTGCCTGGGAAATACGCACTGTCATTTAAAAACTTTTTTAATGAGTACATAA